GGTCACTGTGGGGTCACCGTGTTTAGGGTCACTGTGGGGTCAGTGTGGGGTCACCGTGTTTAGGGTCACTGTGGGGTCAGTGTGGGGTCACCGTGTTTAGGGTCACTGTGGGGTCAGTGTGGGGTCACCGTGTTTAGGGTCACTGTGGGGCCACCCTTGTTTAGGGTCAGTGTGGGGTCAGTGTGGGGTCACCTTCTTTAGGGTCACTGTGGGGTCACTGTGGGGCCACCCTTGTTTAGGGTCAGTGTGGGGCTGACCCTGTTTAGGGTCACTGTGGGGTCACCGTGTTTAGGGTCACTGTGGGGCCACCCCTGTTTAGGGTCCCTGTGGGGTCACCTTCTTTAGGGTCACTGCGGGGTCCCTGTGGGGTCACCGTGTTTAGGGTCACTGTGGGGTCACCCTGTTTAGGGTCCTGTAGGGTCACCCTTGTTTAGGGTCACTGTGGGGTCACTATGGAGCCACCCCCGTTTAGGGTCACTGTGGGGTCACTGTGGGGTCACCTTGTTCAGGGTCACTGTAGGGTCACCCCTGTTTAGGGTCCTGTAGGGTCACCCTTGTTTAGGGTCACTGTGGGGCTGACCCCGTTTAGGGTCACTGTGGGGTCACCGTGTTTAGGGTCCCTGTGGGGTCACCGTGTTTAGGGTCACTCTGGTGTCACCGTGTTTAGGGTCACTGCTGTCCCTCCCCAGTGTTGTTATAGGGTCATTCCCAGCCCCTCAGTGTTACTGTGGGGTCACTTTGCGCCCCCAATGTTGTTATGGGGTTGGCCCTGTTTAGGGTCACTGCTGTCCCCTCCCAGGGTTACTGTAGGGTCAACTCTGTGTCCCCACCTTGGTGCTGTAGGGTCACTTTGTGTCCCCCTGTGTCACCCCTCGGTTAGGGTCACTCTGTCCCCCACTGTCCCTATAGGGCCACCCCATTTCTGTAGGGTCACTCTGCCCCCCACTGTCCCTATAGGGCCACCCCATTTCTATAGGGTCACTCTGTCCCCAATGTCCCTACAGGGCCACCCCATTTCTGTAGGGTCCCTGTCCCCCACTGTCCCTATAGGGCCACCCCATTTCTGTAGGGTCACTCTGCCCCCCATTGTCCCTATAGGGCCACCCCATTTCTATAGGGTCACTCTGCCCCCACTGTCCCTATAGGGCCACCCCATTTCTATAAGGTCACTCTGTCCCCCACTGTCCCTATAGGGCCACCCCATTTCTATAGGGTCACTCTGCCCCCCACTGTCCCTATAGGGCCACCCCATTTCTATAGGGTCACTCTGCCCCCCAGTGTCCCTATAGGGCCACCCCATTTCTATAGGGTCACTCTCCCCCACTGTCCCTATAGGGCCACCCCATTTCTATAGGGTCACTCTGTCCCCCACTGTCCCTATAGGGCCACCCCATTTCTATAGGGTCACTCTGCCCCCCACTGTCCCTATAGGGCCACCCCATTTCTGTAGGGTCCCCATTCCCAGCCAGAGCCGCTCCCGTCACCAACTCTTTATTGGGGACACAGGTGGGGGGCGAGGGGGTGACATCTCCCCAAATGGGGGGGTCCCTGCACCCCCCAGCCCCCGGAAAACCCCGAAATGTTTGTGGGGTGAGGGTCTCCACCCCTCGGGCTCCTCTTCGTCCTCCTCGGGGGCGGCCGCGCCGGGGGATCCCGAAGGGCCCTACATGAGGCGGCACTGCTCCCCACTCACCCCCCCCGGCAGCTCCAGGTTGAATCCGGGGGGCTGTGGGGGCACAGCGGGGTCACCCCCAATCTCTGGGGTCACCCCTAATCTGTGGGGTCACCCTGAATCTGTGGGGTCACCCCAAACCCGTGGGGTCATCCCAAATCTGTGGGGTCATCCCAATTCTCTGAGGTCACCCCGAATCTGTGGGGTCACCCCAAACCCGTGGGGTCATCCCAAATCTGTGGGGTAATCCCAATTCTCTGGGGTCACCCCGAATCTGTGGGGTCACCCCGAATCTGTGGGGTCATCCCAATCCTCTAGGGTCACCCCCAATCTCTGGGGTCACCCTGAATCTCTGGGGTCACCCTGAATCTGTGGGGTCACCCCAAATCTGTGGGGTCACCCCAAACCCATGGGGTCATCCCAAATCTGTGGGGTCATCCCGAATCTGTGGGGTCACCCTGAATCTCTGGGGTCACCCCGAATCTGTGGGGTCACCCTGAATCTCTGGGGTCACCCCAAACCCATGGGGTCATCCCGAATCTGTGGGGTCACCCCAAATCTGTGGGGTCACCCCAAACCCATGGGGTCATCCCGAATCACTGGGGTCACCCCAAATCTGTGGGGTCAACCCGAATCTGTGGGGTCACCCCGAATCTGTGGGGTCACCCTGAATCTCTGGGGTCACCCCAAACCCATGGGGTCATCCCAAATCTGTGGGGTCACCCCAAATCTCTGGGGTCACCCCAAATCTGTGGGGTCACCCCGAATCTCTGGGGTCACCCCGAATCTCTGGGGTCACCCCGAATCTGTGGGGTCACCCCAAATCTGTGGGGTCACCCCGAATCTCTGGGATCACCCCGAATCTGTGGGGTCACCCTGAATCTCTGGGGTCACCCCGAATCTCTGGGGTCATCCCAAATCTGTGGGGTCATCCCGAATCTGTGGGGTCATCCCGAATCTGTGGGGTCACCCCGAATCTGTGGGGTCACCCCGAATCTGTGGGGTTACCCCGAATTTCTGGGATCACCCCGAATCTGTGGGGTCACCCTGAATCTCTGGGGTCACCCCGAATCTCTGGGGTCACCCCAAACCCATGGGGTAATCCCAATTCTCTGGGGTCACCCCAAACCCATGGGGTAATCCCAATTCTCTGGGGTCACCCCAAATCTCTGGGATCACCCCAATTCTTATGGGATCACCCCAGTTCTTATGGGATCACCCCAATTCTTATGGGATCACCCCAGTTCTTATGGGATCACCCCAATTCTTGTGGGGTCACCCCAGTTCTTGTGGGGTCACCCCAATTCTCTGGGATTGCCCCAAAGCGTTGGGGTGACCCCAAATCCTTGTAGGGCGCTGTCCCCAAACACTCACCGTGTCCCCGGCCAGCTCCTTGGGGGGGTGGCCCAGGTCCTGCAGCTGTGAGGGGACAGAAGGAGGGGACACGGGGACATGGTGACACAGGGACACGGGGACACGGGGACATGGGGACACGGGGACACGGGGACATGGTGACACAGGGACATGGGGACATGGGGACACGGGGACACAGGGACACGGGGACATGGGGACACGGGGACACGGGGACATGGGGACACAGGGACACGGGGACACAGGGACACGGGGACACGGGGACATGGTGACACAGTGACACGGTGACATGGGGACACGGGGACACGGGGACATGGTGACACAGGGACACGGGGACACGGGGACACGGTGACACGGGGACACAGGGACACGGGGACATGGGGACATGGGGACATGGGGACACAGGGACATGGGGACACGGTGACATGGGGACACGGGGACATGGGGACACAGGGACACGGTGACATGGGGACATGGGGACACAGGGACACAGAGGGAGGACAGAGGTGACACAGGGACACAGAGAGGGGACAGAGGGACACACAGAGGTGACACAGGAACACAGAAAGGTGACACAGGGACATGGAGAGGTGACACAGTGACACACAGGTGACACAGTGACACACACACAGAGGTCACACAGTGACACAGAGGTGACACAGTGACACAGAGGGAGGACACAGGGATAGAGAGGTGACACAGTGACACACAGAGGTGACACAATGACACAGAGGGACACAGGTGACACAGTGACACACAGAGAGGAGACACAGTGACACAGAGGTGACACAAAGACACAGAGGTGACACAGTGACACATAGGGAGGACAGAGGTGACACAGAGGTGACACAGTGACACACAGAGAGGAGCAGAGGGACACAGAGGGAGGACAGAGGGACACAGAGGTGACACAGATGTGACACCCAGAGGTGACACAGTGACACAGAGAGGTGACACAGTGACACACACCGAGGTGACAGCGAGGTGACACAGTGACACAGAGGGAGGACACAGGGATAGAGAGGTGACACAGTGACACAGGGAGGTGACACAGTGACAAACAGAGAGGGGACAGAGGGGGTCAGGGACACAGAGGGAGGACAGAGGGACACAAAGGTGACACCGAGGTGACACAGTGACAGAGAGGTGACACAGTGACACACACAGAGGTGACACCGAGGTGACACCGAGAGGGGACACAGGGGGTCAGGGACACAGAGGGAGGACACAGTGACAGAGAGGTGACACCGAGGTGACACGGAGAGGGGACACAGGGGTCAGGGACACAGAGGGACACAGAGGTGACACAGTGACAGAGAGGTGACACCGAGGTGACACCGAGAGGGGACACAGGGGGTCAGGGACAGAGAGGAGCAGAGGGACACAGAGGGAGGACACAGTGACAGAGAGGTGGCACAGTGACACCGAGGTGACACGGAGAGGGGACACAGGGGGTCAGGGACACAGAGGGACACAGAGGTGACACCGAGGTGACACCAAGGTGACACAGAGAGGGCACACAGGGGGTCAGGGACACAGAGGGAGGACACAGTGACAGAGAGGTGACACCGAGGTG